TGACAAGCAAATGCGCTTTTTGGGTTCTTCTTCAGACCTTTTAAACATGCTGCAGCCTATCATGATCTTCCTTTAAACTTTGGCACCTCAAAGTTGAGCAAAATTTCCATCCAAGTATTCCAAATGGAACCTGGCCTTCCAGATCATAATGAAAGAGTACTTTTAACTTATACACTTATCCTTATCAAGACAGGAGGGTTAAATATGTTTTATTTAACAGTTTGGTGGCTTGACTTATAACTCAAATATTTAGACCTTTGGTACGTTGGCCTCTGCTTGGACTCTGGTCTGAGGCCCCACCAGGATGAGGGGTGGATGTGTTGATGGGAGTGTGAGGAATCTCTCAGAATTAGTTTCTCACTCATGTCATCAAAATCCACAGGTTTAAGTTTAAATTTTCCAAACAAATCAACAACATAGGGTAGCTTTTGTTAGACACTTTCTGTTGCAAAAAAAAAATCTCACAGATTAGCTTCTCTGGGTGCATTTTCTCCTCCCATTCTGACCTGGATTCTTCATAGTGGTTATCTTTTCTCTGCCTCATAGCTTCTTCTCATCTGTGACTTTGGCTCGCTCACAGCTGCTCCGTGCCCCTCTCACTGAGCTGGCTTTCAGCATTACCCCCAGGCTGCCCTCTGCCTGACTTGCTCCATGTATCTCTATTCAAAATTTCAGGGACAGGAATCTAGAGTCACGCACCGCATAGTGACGTTTTGGTCAAGAATGGACTGCATATATGCCGGGGGTCCCATAAGATTATAATGAAACTAGAGAATTCCTATTGCTTAGTGATGTCATAACTGTCATAACATCACAGTGCAACACATTATTCACATGTCTGTGGTGATGCTGGTGTAAACAAACCTACTGTGCTGCCAGTCATGTAAAAGTATAGCACATACAATTGCAGTAGTAGGCGGCACCATCTAGGTTTGTGTAAGACACTCTATTATGTACGCACAACGACGGAATTGCCTACCAGTGCATTTCTTAGAATGGATACCCGTCAGTAAGCGGCCTATGACTTTGTTTCAATCTCCTTTCAATCTGCTTTCTGGGAAAACCTGTTTGCCCCAGGCCAATTGGTAGGCCAGTCCTGGTCTAATTCATACCTTTGATGGGACATTGATGAGTAGGCTGTTATTTAGTTAGGTGTGTACCCCTATCCAATCAGCTATTGCTAGAGGGGATCATGTAATAGAAAACATGGTACCTGAGGACAGGCTGGTCAGCGGGCCTGTGGGAGGGGCATAGTTTTCCTCAGAAGTGGCTGTGGGCTCAGCAGACTCCGTGACTGTTCAGTGTGATAGTGGTGGTGAGCGTTTGAAGCCTCCCTGTCATATTTTCCACTTACTCTTCAAGAAAGCAGTCATCTCCTTACTAACCATGATACACCACCACAGTGTGTCACCATGAGTAAAGCACTAACCTCCAATATACACCTCTTCCTTCTGTGGCAGGTATAAGGATGATTAAATCAGCCATCATCAGTGGTTCTTCATTTTTCTGAGATGCATGGCATGTTCTGCTTGTTCCTCAAAAGGTATATTATTCACTTCGGATGGGTTGCACCCCACTTAATGAGGAGTCAGGAAAGATCTAGATAAGGCCCTTGCCAAATGGTAATCATTGCGTCCTGGGTGAGACTTGCCAGAGGGGAGATTTATGAAAATGAACCAAAGTCCTTAGAAAATGTAAATGAAAGTTTTTCTAGATGTTGCTCTTGTATCAACAGCTTTCTTTTCAAGAAAAGGTCTATCAATTTTAGTAGAAGGAACTACTTTTGTTCATTGAGCTATTTTCCCGGCAACATATTTGGTGTGTCCTTGAACACAACCTCAGGCACCTGAGTGAGCTTCAGAAGACCTAGGAGAGGACTTCGCAGGCTTTGAAAAACTTTCTAAGGACAAGAGATAAACAGTCTCCTAGGATACAATGAGGAGAAGTTATGGGTTAGAAAGAATGAAGGTCACTCTGATGCCACTTAGACCATAGCTCATCAATCTGCTAAGCCTTTCAAAGGCCTTGAAAAGCTTTGCTTTGAACATTTGTGTGTATTTTCCATAGCTCACGCTATTCAGCATAAGAATATTTAAAACAGCAAATTCTTAGGTCCACACGATGTTTGGAAAAGGAAAACTTTTCTTCTAAAACAAATTTTTTATTGATTTCACAGAGGAAGGGAGAGGGAAAGAGAGGTAGGAACAACATTGATGAGAGAAAGAATCATTGATCAGCTGCCTCCTGCACACCCCTTACTGGGGATGGAAGCTAAAACCCGGACATATGTCCTGTCAGAGGAATTGAACCGTGAGCTCCTGGTTCATAGGTCCATGCTCAATCCCTGACCCACACCGACTGGGCTCTCCTCTATCACCTTGAAACCTTTAACTTTTCACTGTAATGATCTCTTCCTGCCTCTCAGGAGATCAAAAACAGCCAGCTTTGCATCTTTCCCAGGGAAACCCTGCCTCCCCCGAGAGAACATTGATGATGTGAAAGAATCATTGATCAGCTGCCTCCTGCACACCCCTTACTGGGGATGGAAGCTAAAATCCGGACATATGTCCTGTCAGAGGAATTGAACTGTAAGCTCCTGGTTCATAGGTCCACGCTCAATCACTGACCCACACCGGCTGGGCTCTCCTCTATCACCTTGAAACCTTTAACTTTTCACTGTAATGATCTCTTCCTGCCTCTCAGGAGATCAAAAACTTATGTTGCATATCCTGCCTCACCCACTCCCAAAGAGAGGTAGCAGTTAACAAGGTTGCTTGTTATCACCTCTCTGATTTTCTCTCACATCATCTCAGGACTCACACCTCATTCTTCTGGTGAGGTAATCCACAGGAAACAAGCAATACCTTGATCACATATCTCCACATGTGCAACATGTTCCACATCTTCTCTCCGAGTACTGTCTGAAAAAGACATATGCACAGCACCATAGCCAAAGATGATCCCACTGATAAATCCAAACAAGAGAAAATCCCTTGAACTGACTCAACTCAAAGGCCATTAAAATGTCATTATTCCTAAGGAAAACTTTGTTGTTATTTATCCTCACTCAAGGATATTTTTTCCAATGATTTTCAGAGAGCGTGGAAAAGAGGGGGAGAGACACAGAGAGAGAAACATTGATACAAGAGAGATACATCGATTGGTTGCCTCCTGCACACACCCTGACTGGGGGCAGGAATTGAGCTTGCAACAGAGGCATGTTCTCTTGACTAGAATCAAACCCGTGACCCTTCAGTCCAATGTTCTAACCACTGAACAAAACCAGCTAGGGCATAAGGAAAACTTTTTAAAGATCAAACCACAGTGGCCCTACTTGCAAATGAACAAGTTTGAACATGTATCTCCACCTGAGACTTTTCTTGTTACCTATGAAGTCACTGACCTAAGGATGACTTCCATGGGTGGGGTTGTCCCCAGAATCCTTATTTGGAATGCACTGACAAATGTGCTCCAGAGTGTCTGAAATCTTATTGTTAGTGCTATTTGATAAGAACACAGAAGCAAAATGGGCTTTTGTGGACTGGCATAGAAACAGGCTCTTTTAGCTCCAAAGAACAAACTTAAAATCTTGAAACGTATTTTACTCATAATTTTGGGACTGTCTCTAGTGTGTACATTATGTCTACCAAATCCTTAGTATAATAGAATCCTGTAGTTGATAAAGCATCAGCTATTATCTGAAGCAAACATTCACCTTTCAAACCCAGTATTTCCTCCCTGAGAAAAATGTTGTGCTGCTTGTGAGGTGCCAGTTATTCGGTACTATTCCAACAGCACTAAACTCTGAGATGCTTACACACATCTCTGTGCATCCAACTAAAAACACACAAAGAAAGAACTGGCTACTTCACCTGAAATTTTCATTCATTGAATCAATCACAACATGAAGCAAGTGTTATCTTGGTCAAGGCTATATTTTGACTCAAGAAAGATTTCAGTGTTTACCAGTAACTTAAATGCTGACTTAGAATCAAGAGAAGTATTTCTTGAGTATACAGTGTTTGCAATACATGGGGCAAATTTAAATTGCACAAACACCCCATCACAAAAGTGCTTCAGGTTACTATTGATTATAAAAAGCCCAGCAAAATCATTTTTACCACGAACTAATTGTGGTGACTTATCTCTGTATTAACATAAACATGTAACAGGAGTATCATCCAGCCCTCTAACACTTGTATAAATATAGTGTGTTCTGCAGTAGTTCAGAACATACACCAAAACAGGCCTTTCTCAACCAAGTCTAGGTAATCTTTCCTGATGCCTAAACAGTGGGGGAGATACAGTTGCCAGAAGACACATTTACCTTCTGAATAAGCAGTTCAATTGTTTTTCTCAGTCAAGTAACTCAGGACCCACAGTAACTCCACCCAGTATTGCATCAGACGAGTTGCAAGTTGAGCTCACTGATGCCCACCACAAAACCCTCTTTCTGAATTCTCTGTAAAGTCTCCTCTGTGCATCCAACTAAAATAAATGACTACTTGTAAATAGCGTACACATAGCAACAATATACATTCACATGTATTTCCCCCCACATATGTTATTTTATTTAAGGAAGCGTTTGGGAGTCAGAATTGCGTTCCAATGGTGATTGTCACAGTAAGTGTGACTTTGGGTAAGTCGCTTCAGCTCTCTGGGTCTCAGTTTTCTCATCTCTAAACCGGGATTAATAATATAAATTACCTTATGGGTAGCTGTTAAGGATCAAATGAGCTAATATTTTAAAACAATTCTTAGCACATGAAGTACATATCCAATAAATGGTAGATTTCATTAATATTCTTTAATAATTGCCTCACCCTCTGTAAGTCTGCCAGGCAGTTATAATGATCCCTATTGGATAGATGAGACTAAATAATGTACAGTGGGACCTTGACTTATGAGTTTAATTCGTTCCGAGACCGAGCTCGTTAAGGAGCTCGTTAAGGAGCTCATTAACTCAAATTACTCTATCAACTCAATGCAAAAAATCGGCCGAGAGACAGCTGGTATCTCAAAAAACTCGTTAGTCGGGACACTCGTAAGTCAAGGCCCCACTGTATCCACGGCTAAACAATTCATTAGTGGCCGCTCCAGGGCTTCTGGTTCCAAGCCCCAGAATCCTCACTACGCCCATCATCCCCAGTCAACCTTATAGACTTTTACAGAATGGGCGGCACTGTCCAGCACAAGAAGAGAATTCTCCTTGGTGAAGGTCAGTGCCACAGGATGGGAAAGCCCGTGGGTGATGACGGGCTTCGGTACGGGAAACTCCTCGGGTTTTCCTAAGCATAGGACAGCGTGACTGGACGTATCGGCGACGATCACATTCCCCTGGTGATCGAAGGTCACAGCGGAGGCCGTGATTTCCGAGGGGAAGAAGAGGCTCAGCCCGAAGGTGTCCACCTGGCCAATGAGCTGCATGGTGGCGCTGAACACCTTCACCGTGGTGCTGCAGGTCCCGGTCCCGAGGGCCAGGGGGCGCTCTAGGACCGCAATGGCCCCTGTGAGCCAGGACACCGCCACCCCTCGGGGACCGCACAGATGCTCTTGCAACCTCTCCGTTCGCCGGAGGACCCCTTCTGGAAAGTCCACCTCCAGGAGGTGCAGGGACCCTGCCTCCGCGTCAGTTACCACGACCCTATTCTGAGGGGTGGTCTCCACACCCCAAGGCAAGGAGAACTGGCCTCCGACGACAAGCCTGATTTGGCCAAAAAAATCGAACACTTTGATGGAGCGGTCGCCGGCATCGGTGACAACCACGTGACAGTCGTTGGTGACGGTGACATCGAGTGGGTACTTAATGTCCTGGGCGGCGTCCCCCTTCTCTCCAAACTGGTGCGCGCATCCTCCCCCGGAATCAAAGATCTTGACCCGCCGCTTGCCGTCGTGCACCACCACGAACCGCCCCGTCTTGGGACACAGCGCCAGCCCGGTGGGGTTCACCAGGGTTCCCCAGCCGCCGA